AGCCACAGTTTAACCAACTGCATTGCAGCCTAATGTCCAAACCTAGATTCTGTGGTGAGTTGATGGTACTGTATATTTTGTAAACCCAGAAAAATATAGTTTATTCAATGAACCCATTTTCAGGTTTTACAGAAATCCTATAAAAAATTGGCATATTGCATCCAGAATCTGCTAAATGGATGGTGGTGTCTGTGAAATTGAGATATTATATATCATGCCCCCTTTTATTATTTTTTCTTAAGCAAAAAAGCCCAAACATTGTAACATTTCCTCCAAGAACAATTAATGTTGTTTCTTCTTTCAATTTTCCTATTTTTTCTTGTCCACAATAGCATTTTTAAATTACAATCAGAACTGCTTTGGAAACCGCAGCCTTTCAGATACCCAGACCTCTTAAGAGTCTTCAATCAATGTGGTTAATAATGCTTTGTCACTAAAATGAGAGATGCTAGGTGGGAGATATAGGTCTAGAGATTTTCTAATGCAATTCAGCAGCCTTGTTTAAAGTGGCACCCCTGAATTGTAATCTCATATCTACCAAGTGCCACATTGGAAGGTGGGAGGGAGGCATACAATATTTCAACAGTTGGAATTTAGTGATCCCATCAGGTCCCCCAAGTATCTCTCAGCGTCACAGATATTCTAGAGAAATTCATTATTCATTTGTTAGATTTTTATCCCTTTATTATTTTTATAAATAACTCAAGGTGGCAAACATACATAATACTCTTTCCTCTTCCCATTTTCCCCACAAAAACAACCCTGTGAGGTGGAATGGGCTGAGAGTGAGTGACTGGTGCAAAGTCACCCAGCTGGCTTTTATGCCTCAGGAAGGACCAGAACTCATAATTTCATGGTTTCTTGGTCAGCAACTTAACTACTAGATCAAACTTATATTTTTATGTTTTATACTTTATATTCTTGTTCGCCTTAGCATTTTAGGTTTAGTTACACTGCATTGCATTTGCCATATTCTTGCACATTTCTGCATTCTGGAGTCGTTCGTTTTGAGCTCTGTCCAGCCCCCATGTTGTTTTTAACTTCCCTGAATAATGTGATATCATCAGCAGATACAGTCTTCTCTGCTAGCGTGTCCAAAATCTACATCTGTTGAACTGTTGTTTGCCAGAAATTGTTAAAGACTTAGCAGTCCTGCCACGAAGTGTATATTTGCCTTTCTAAACTGTATTTCTCAGTTTAAATAGTTCTGAACAACTCTGAGATTATTCAGAGATTTCGTCCCACCAAAGTTACTCCTCATCCAGGCTCCATTATTAGGGTAGACAGAATGGCCTTTTATTCCATTTTCTATTCCTTATAGTCTCTAGGATTACATTAAACTCCCCTCCTACCACTGAGATCCAGCACTGCAATTTAATTTTATTTTGGCTCCAATTGCTTTTTCCACAAGCCAAAACAAATTTTTTTAAAAAAAAACACCCTGGAAAATAAGAAGAGGGAAGAGAAGGCAGTTCCCAGCTGGAGTTGGCAAGGGCTGGGCTGGGCTGCAAAGATGGCTCAGGATTTGCTCTAAGGGAAATGGCTCCTCTCTGCCTCTCAAATTTGGCTGCACTGCCTGCAGTTTTCCATCCAACTAAGAAAAAAGTGGGTTTTAAAAAAAACTGGTCAAAATTGCCAAATGGAGGCTGTCTCTTTATTTCCCACAGCAGGGTGGAGGCAAAGTAAATTCTAGGAACTGACTTGCCGGCTTTCCAAGATCTACCCAAATTTTCTTCGATGGTTCAGAATGAAAGAACTGGCACCCCAACTGTCCATGACACTCAGTTCCAAGTCATTCAAAGCTGGTTAAAGTTTATTACTTCAGTTCTGTTTTGGTTTCAGATCTCATGAATCATTACTAATTTCTTCCCTGTTCATTAGGGAAAAATAAAGGCTCCCAAATTGGCTTACAGATGTGGGTTGTGGGATATTCCCTGTCTTTTGATGAATAAACCAAGAGGACATACTGTATATTATACAAAGCAGAGGAATGGGGAGAGAAGAGGGGGGGGAAAGCTAATTTGGGGACTGTTTCTTACAGTTGCAAGTAGAAAAATTAATTATGGCTGCTTTCCCCATCAATGTATGATCAGGACTTACTAAGTTTATCCAAATCAAACTAAAATAATTTACACAACCAGATCTTGCTTAAAATGCAATAACCCACCAATCTCTCTATACTGCTTTAGTAGAAGGGGCTTTTCTTACCCAATTTTATTGAAAAGCAAGTCCAAGCTTCCAATGTAACAATGGATGCGGGTTGGGGGGGGTGTACAAAAAGTCAAGATGGCAGCCACCAATATGTGATTGAAACCCCACAATTTTTTTTATACTCAGGAACTTCTGCACATATCCCTTCAATTATTTCATACTGGTTCTTTCATCTTTAACCCTCCCCCCCCCGAAAATCCATTCGTTTACATAATTTTTTTAACGAGCAGTGCTAAGAATTGTCCACTGGGAAGATGTGTGGACTTCAACTCCCAGAATTCCCCAGCCAGCATGCTTGCTAAGGAATGCTGGGAGTTGAAGTCCACACATCTTCAAGCTATTAAGGTTGAGAAATACTGTCCTACTGTCATCTACAGTCCCAGCCATTCTAGCTACCACAAGCAGCCATCTCTCTCTCCTGCCCCCTCTCCCATATCAGCCCCACAAATTATAGTCTTGCTTTATAAACCTCCATGCTGCATTCTCTCTTAGCTTTTCCTTCCTGTAATTGGGTTGTGGTCAGGATAAAATGAAGAGGAGAGAGAACCACAGAAGCCACCCAGACTTCTTTGGAGGAAAGGCAATAAAAATTTAATAGAGGAAATAAAACCAAAACAATGTAAGAATAATTAAAATAAAGCTGAATTTTGGACTCTATTCTCCATCAAGTTTACAGATAGATATCCCCTTAATTTTTTTTGTAAACTGTTTCAAAAAAATGTTCATAAATTCCCCAAAAGCCTGTGGTCTATTATACAGGACTGGGGACAATATGTGGGGAACAAGGACAAATAATACCTCTTCCTTGACTTAAAGTAATTAGGTCTCTTCATTTGCACCCCATTTTATAGTAAAATCTACCTTATAAACTTTTCCCCCATTTACTCTGCATAACAATCACAGGCATGGAAATGGACACCGACTCTCCCCGGCCTGGAAAAGGCCTTCAGGTGTTCTGAATTACAATTCCCATCATCCTTGGCCCCCTGGATACGCTAGGGGCTACAATCCAACCTATGTGGAAGGTAGCAGTTTGAAGAAGGCTGAACACCCCCCAGCCACTCTCTGAGTGCATCCCACGTTTTCCATTTTATGGGCCCACCCCTTTCCTCCCCCCACCCCACTTCTACAAATGCCCATTGAGCAATTTTGCTTCTGGCTGGAAAACCTACCTTCTGGTGGAGCCCCCATCCTGCCTGTACCCGTCCTTCACTAACTCCGTTCCAAGCAACAGATGGTGGTGGCTCAGCACCAGTGGGATGGCGGAGGGGAGAGAAAGCTGGGGCAGGTGCCAGGGAGGACTTAGCTGTATCGCTCTTCTTCCCAGCCTCGCTCACCCCATCTCTCTTTTCCCCCTTTCTTTCTCTCTCTCTCTCTTGCCTTTCCTTGCCTCTCAGTTCTCCATCCGTGCCTGCCACCCTCACTAATTCATAGCACCTCCTTCTAGTTCAGTATCATCCTCCCCCTTTATCTCTCCCCCTTCCACACTTATCCCTGACAACTTTCTTTTTTACTATTTGTCTTTTCTCTTTTAATATTTAAGATTAAATAATAGTTAATCTTCTGCTTTCTTAAATCAGCTATCAGGTCCCTAAATACAGTTTTTCTGCTTTTTTTCTCCTTACAAGGTTTTGTGATGAATGCACCTTCTGTACTGTGCACCCGTTTCTCCTTTCAAAGAGAGAGATATCTTCCTGCCTAACCCTATTTTATCCTGAAAATGTATCTTTCTGACTCATTTATACAATTAATCTTTTCAGTCAATCATTCATTGGGAGGTTCCTGATAGCTAAAACTTTCTGTTTAAAGGTGTTTTAAAAACCCTAAGAGCAGGCAATAATGTAATATTAAAAGCAAGCACCAAAACAATTAAAAATTATGGCAATAAAAACCATGGTAAAATACAACTTTGAATAAACATAATCTCAGCAGTGATTTTAACTAGAAGTAATCATCACTTAAATAATCACCACTAAGTCAATGAAATATATTCCTCAAGAATGTTTTTTAAAAATTCTAATATGTTAACAATTTGCGGATTGCTTATCAATCAATCGTCTATTTATTGTTAAAGTGATGCATCATTATTTTATTATTGTCCAGATACAACAATCTTATGCGGATTATACTCTGACATTTATTCCACAAATAAATGTGTGTGTATTCCTGTGCATGCAGATAAATTTGCTAAATTGTCTAGGGTAGATCATCTACTCCATCTTAAAATACTACTAAATTGATTAGCTGGCTAGAGGCCAGTCATTAATGACCTAATTAATGTTTTAATCCTAGTTTCCTTCTTCCTATTCTTACAGTACACAGTAAAGATTCTGCTACTGCCAAATTGCAAAACGCAACAATTCTTTTTACAGTATAAAGAGCATGATGTTCCACAGATAAATACTATAGTTGTGGTTCATGATGGCAAGTTTTTTAATTAACTGATCCTAATTTTTATAATACTATGAAGCAAGTTGTACGATCATCAGTTTCTTAATTGGAGATCTGATGCAGCGATCCAATTCATGGACAATGAAAGAAAGATTTGAACCCCTGCACATTCTTTCCCTTCTGCTGTGTCTCTCTTCACACAGCACACTCATCCCTTAATGTTTGCTCCTCTCGCGTTTCTCTTTGCTTTTTCTTCCTCTCCCTCCCAGCTCTGTCTTTCTTCCCATAACTGGGGTGGCCTTTTGAGCCTAATTTCTTCCGATTGTCTAAGTTATACTCATTCTCTCTCATAAATGCTGCACAGCATTCACAAGTAAGCTCAAGTTACTTGAACTTACCTTTCCCGTCTTCCTTGCTCGATTCTGCTTTCTCTTTCATGCTGTTGCAATTTCCAGTCTTCCAGTGTTTTCCAAACTTGGAAAAAGGGCTGTTGCTGGTAGGAGATGAATTTAGGCCTGGAAAATTCCTCCTTGCTGGGGAATGTCAAACTTAAGGAGTGGGGGGGGGGGGGGGGGAAGGAAAGGACTAGTTAACCCTTTATTAACGAGCCACTGATGTTAGCTAGCTCTGAGCATTGCACAGTCCTATAGCTGGAGCATATTAAGAGGAAGCATAGTTACCTTTCCTACTCTGTGCCCCAGACAGGCATAGCATTGATCTTTACGTGCTGTCCCAGCAGATTCTTGGTCCCTCCACACCCTGACAGCTGCCACAGCTGTACCCCTGGATCTTTTCCAAAACCTGGGAGAGAACAGCTCTTCTATTCCAGGAAAGTGACAGGGCACACATAAGGGAGCATATTCTAGTTTTTCCCCACTAAATTCTCTGAGACACCAGGATAGACAAGTTTATTTTGTGACTGATTTTTGCTAGGAACACTAGAAACGAAAGCCACTCACATGTGATATATAGGGAAGGGGGGTACAGAGCCCAAAGTATAAAGCTCCACCCTAAAGCTACAAATAACTACAATGGAAAACATAAAACCAGAGTAACTGATCTGTGCAGAGCCAGGAAAATGCTGGGGTTGTCAATAAAACTGGCTGATCTATTTTGTTTCAGCATATCGAATTCTAGTTTCACCGTTTGAAGCATGTGCATGGAACGTAGGTTCCATATGTATGCATGTTTACTGTGAGAATTAAAGGAACATGAGGACATTGGGATATATTATGAGCGGCTGGCAAGTAGCATATAATAATGGAAAAAACAGAAGGCACCATTTTAAAGAAGGCACCAGTTATAATCACAACTGGGACCAGAATTTCCATTGATAAGCAAGTGAGTTCGCCTGATTTTAATAACCTTGTTTGTCATGTTGTTAAGAAAATCATTGCAGTTGTTAAATAAATTACACAGTTGATAATCGAAGCAGGCTTTTCCCATTGAGTTCGTTAGAAGTTGGCTGGGAAGTTTGCAAAATGGCGACCACATGACTCCAGGACCCTGCAACCAGTGATGGGATTCAGCCAGTTTACACCCAGTTCGGCAGAACCGGTAGCTACCGTAATTTACACCAGTATCGGCAGAACTGGTAGCTACCCAGAATGGACTTCCGGAAGTGGCATCCACACAGAGAACTGGTTGTTCACATATTTGAATCCCACCACTGCCCGTGGCCATCATAAATAGAGTTTATGTACATTGCCAAATGCCCACATTTTGATCATGTGACTTGCTGCAATGGCCTTAAATGTGGTTGTCACTTGTGCCATTGTAACTTTGAACAGTCGCTCAATGAATGGTTGTTAAGGACTTCCTGTACAGAAATTCTTATTCACAGCCCTGCCATTGGCAAATACCAACAATTCTCCCCCCCCTCCATGATTATGAGAACTAATCACTTATTCTTTTTAAACCAATGAAAGCTCAGATTCCAAACTCCAAATTAAGATAACCCATTCTGGGCTGGCAAAATGGTCCTTACAGTAGAAGCTTAGTCTCCCTGTGCATTCTTACCTACAACTTCTGTGGGTAAAGCAGTGACTTCTCTAGCAGCTGTTGCAACCCACTCCTGCAAGTGGGAATTGCTATATTAGGAAGTCCAGCAGAAAATCAAAGCTTAGGTGTTGTTTGTTCTGTTCTCTCTCCCTGTACACAGCTAGAAAGCTCCTTACATTTGCTTCCACAGCCTAGCCTAGCTTCAGGGTCAGGAATTCACCAACCATCTATTTTGGGGGCGTATCTGATTTCAGTCCCTTGTGTTGCCATTTTGAGGGCATGAACTGCCCAGAGTATGTACTTGTATAAAGACCACAGAGAAAAATGACTGTCTATCTTTTGGCCGTTTGGAGGAAGAGCAAGCTAAGAATTTTCAGAAAATTGGCAGCAAGATGAGCCAAAGATTTCTCTAAATTGTCAAAGAGAAGAAGAGGTTTGTGAAAGACAGAATATATTTCTTTTGGTTTTAGGGAGGTGTTTTTTTTTTTAAACAGGGGCTGCCTACTACAGCTGTAAATCAGGATGGTTGTAAAGCAGGACATCACCATAACCCAATCTTATGACCTTTTTTGAGATGATTGTTAAGCAAACATAACAGAGTATAGGGTCATTAAGCAAACTCATTGTTTGCTATGGAGCATTTTTTTGCCAAAAAACTGACAGTAAATGCTGGTTTTCAGTTAAATAATCGTAAATTGCGGTCATGAGACTGCAGGATGCTGCAAATGTCTGTAAATGCAGGCTGGTTGCCTAGCACCTAAAGTGAGGTCACATGACCGGGGGGGGGCTACCCTTCATAATTTTGAAACCTGGTCATAAGTACCTTTGGCACTAATGGGCACTAAACAACTCATCATAAGCTGAGGACTATATATATAATTCTCATATTCTTATATTGCAAGACATTCTACAACTTTGATAGACCTAATAAAAGTGTTATCTTGGTTTTTCTCCCCAGATGCAAGGGTAATTTTATACATATTTTCATCTATATACACATACACACAATATACAGGCAGTCCTCAACTTATGACCACAATTGAATCCAAAATTTACGTTGCTAAGTGAGAAATTTGTTTTATTTTACGACCTTTCTTGCCATATTAGTTAAGTGAATCACTGCAGTTGTTAAGCTAGTCACATGGTTGTTAAGTGAATCTGGCTTCTCCACTGATTTTGCTTGTCAGAATAGGATCCCATGACTCCGGGACACTTCAACCATCATAAATATGAACCAGTTGTCAAGCATCCAAATGTAAATCACGTGACCATGGGGATGCTGCAACGGTCATAAGTGTGAAAAATGGTCATAATTCACTTTTTTCAGTGCAATTGTAATTTCGAACCGTCACTAAACAAACTGTTGTAAGTCGAGAACTACCTATATATCATCATCATTTTAGCCATTGTCTATGCACTGTAGCGGTGGTGGAGAACCTATGGCACGGGTGCCAGAGGCAGCACTCGGAGCCCTCTCTGTGGGCACACATGCTGTTGCCCCAGCCTTGCCTCCCCCTGCGACCCCCTCCTCACCAGCATACCCCCGGGAGGAGAGTCACCCCCAAGTGTGGCCCACACGGAGCAGCACAGCCAAGGACATGGCAGCCAGGCAGCGTAGACAAGATTCTGCCCTCACACCCGATCGCGCAAAGTTGATGCTGCGGGGCACGGGCAGAGGGCGTGGCCGCCTTGGCACTGCTGGGCTGCCTGGGCAATCTGCGGCAGGCCCTGGAGGTGGTGAGTGGCCCTGGGGGCAGAGCAGGGGGGCGGGGCAGGGGGTGGAGCAGGGGCGGGGCCAGTTTTTGGGCACCCGGTCTCTAAAAGGTTCACCATCACTGCACTGTAGGATGAAGACCTCTTCCACATGTTTCCAACTTATAGGGTTCTGAGCTTTCTTTTGCCAATTGGGCCCGCCATACTTGCTGATGTCGTCCATCCATCTTGTCTCTTTTGTGGATGCTTTTTATCAAGTGGGATCCATTCTATAACTGCCTTGATCCACCTGCCATCAGTTCTTCTTGCTATGTGACCAGCCCTGTTTCCATTTCAATTCTTTTACTCTCTTGATCACATCATATATATTTTATATCTCACTAGCTTTCTTTAATTGGGTATTGTTGCATCTGAAGTTCCAGATGCACATCACTTTCAAGGACCTGCTGGCCAAATTTAGAAAATTTCTGGCTTTAAAATAACAATTCAATCAGCACCGCTTCACACCAATAATTTCTACTGCAGTACTTAATGTGACTTATTTTTACTTTGTCTGAAAACATTCCTCAGGATTTTTACTTACAATAATTCTGTGATAGAGCTTTTTGTTGCTTAAAGCTGTACAGTTAGCATCTGATTAGTTGATATTGACATTTCCTAGCACTTGTGATTTTGCCAGCTATTTGAGCATGTTAATACATCTGATTTTGTCTATATTTTTTCTGCTTACTACCACAAAAGGTTATTCATCTCAAGAGAGTCAAAGATTTAGGTTTCCTTAAATTAGTTTTGTTTCCAAATATGTGAGTGATTTATGAAGCATCATAGCCCTTTTTAGTGGTAACCGTAAAACAAATTGGCACTATAGCTATAGACATCACAACTCTCTGACAGAATGAAGCATTTTAATAACAATAAAATCATTATGGTTAGGAAAGACAATTTTATAGCATTTTGCCTCTGTGGCCAATTATATTCACCTGGGAAACACAGTATTCTTTCTGGAAAATGATAGTTAATAGTTCCTCTAAGAATAAAATTTTCCCTGTGCATCTTCAAGTCAGTTTTGACTCCAGGTGACTCATTATTTCTTGGCGATCCCATTTTCAGAAGTGATTTGCATTGCTTTTGTCCTAGGGCTGAGAGAGCATACTGACCCAGTCATTCACTTGGCTTTTGTGCCTATGACTGGATTAGAACTTAAGTCTTTCATTTTCTAGCCTGTGGTTTTAACCACTACACTAAAAAAATGGCTGTCTTAAACTTTAATTGGTAATATGCATTTCCTCCACAAATCTGAAGAATTCATCTTTAAAATGATATAGGCTAGTCAATAATTTGCCCTCCGTTTCATCATATACACTGGAAAGGAGCACAGGGTTAGTAAGCAGAAAGACAGTATCAAATCATTAATCCTAAATCCCAATAAGCATACATTAATCAGTCATACAACCAAAATTAGACCTAGAGGATTTAGTCCATTACAACAGGACTGCATTTTTTCCTTTTGTTTTTAGAAGAAAGCAATCAGTAGTAGGTTTTTAACTTAAAATTTCTAAAGGTTGCTGCCTATTTGCTTACAATTTACTCCTTTGCACATGCACTTTTCCAGTTTACATCGCCAAAACCAGTTGTGTCTCAACCTTAGCAATTTAAAGACATGCGGACTTCAACTCCCAGAAGTCCCCAGCCAGCTGACAAGGGAATTCTGGGAGTTGAAGTCCAGACATCTTGAAAAGTTGAGTCACGCTGGACAAGACGATTAGTTCAACAGTCCTACGGTTCTATCAATTAAGCTTTGCCTTGACAAAGAGGCAATCGTATGCCAAAGAAACTCAACAAAACACAAGCGAGCTCACAGCCCACTTCCTCTTCGCCTTTGTGTCTTTATGACGTTAATAAAGTTTCAATTTGCTTTCTCTTTACCTCCCTTCGCGCACGCGCGCATTTAGACAGGCCGAAGGGCGGAGATTAGGATGATCGCGCGCGCAGGGCGCCCAGTCCTTTGTTGTGCGCATGCGTAAAGCGGTGGGCTGGCGAGAATGAGGTCCGGAAAAGCGAGGCGGGGCCAAAGTATAAAAAGGCCACGTGCGCCGGCGTTCCCTTCTGTTTCAAATGGCGTCCAGCTTCAGGTGGGTGTTTGCGGCGGCGGGGACGGCGGAGTGGGGGGTGGGTGGGTTTAAGGTTTTCTTGGATCATTTTTATTTGGCGCTATAATACTTTCAGCAATGAGTTTTTTTAAACAAGGAGAAGGTGAAAGCTGGACCTGTTGATTGTTTTAAAAAGTCGGGGAGGGGAATAAAAAGGACTCCTTTAGCAAAGGAGGATTGGAATAAGAATCCCAAAGGTGCTTTTTCAGGAGGCAATTGGACTTTATTGTTTTTCTTTGAAGACGTTTCGCTTCTCATCCAAGAAGCTTCTTCAGCTCTGACTGGATGGCGGGGAATGGAAGGATTTATATTCCTTGCAGACAGCTGGTCATTTGTATTCTTTGGGAAAGTCATGCAAATGACCAGCTATCTGCAAGGAATATAAATCCTTTCATTCCCCGCCATCCAGTCAGAGCTGAAGAAGCTTCTTGGATGAGAAGCGAAACGTCTTCAAAGAAAAAACTAAATCCAGTTGCCTCCTGAAAAAGCACCTTTGGGCCAACCATGACCTGTGGATGACTGAGAATCTCCATAGACAATTGGAATAAGAAATAGGACTGTGATAATGGGCGAGAGGGTATGATGTCCCTTATACAGGGGTAGGCAACCTTGGCTCTTTTATGACTCGTGGACTTCAACTCCCAGAATTCCTGAGCCAGCATGGAAACCTCAGCATGGCTGGCTCATGAATTCTGGGAGTTGAAGTCCACGAGTCATAAAAGAGCCAAGGTTGCCTACCCCTGCCCTTATAAAAAAAGCCCTGGAGGATCCATGGAATGGGAATTGAATTCAGCTGCCTTTTTTCTTTTCCCTTGATAGGTGGGATAGGAGTATTGCTGTACCCAGATGAAAAGAATGTGGCAACAGGGTTCTTCCAATGATGTTAGCACTGGGCACAGACTGCTGTGATGATAACCGTGCCCCCCTTGCCTTTGACATCTTGGGGGACTGAGGAACAGAATCCTGGCCTGCCTGTTAGAATTTGTGATTGAGGAAGAAGCTCTTGGGAGTGCTTGATCGCTGGTAGTGACTGTCATGTTAGGGAAACACCAGTGCAGATAGTTTTCTACTTAACCACAGTTAGTTTAGTGACTGTTCAAAGTTACAACAGCACTGAAAAAAGTGATTTGTGACTGTTTTTTCACACTTAAGGACCATTGCAGCATCCCCATGGTCACATGATCAAAATTCAGATGTGTGGCAGCACAGAATAAATGTGCATGCATACTCATTTAATGAATAGACTTTTTTGGTGTCATGAAAAAGGCCAAGCAGCAGAGGAAAAAAAATACTGCCTTGTGTCCTAAATAATTTAATTGTATCAAAGAGAGCCAGTTTGGTCTAGTGGTTAAGACACCAGACTAGAAGGAGACTATGAGTTCAAGTCCTCCTTAGCCATGAAAGCCAGCTGGGTGACTTTGTGCCAGTCACTCTCAGCCCAACTTTACTGCACAAGGTGGTTGTGGGGAAAATAGTATTGCTTTGTTGGGTTATTTATAAAATAAAAATGGGATACAAATATCTTGAGTGGCAGGTACAATGAGAGCATGTTAGAAAGTTTGATTTTTGCCTTAATATAACTTGGTGAAAGTAACCTGCTTATTTGCCCCTCCCCCCCATCTGTGTCTCCTTTAGATTTTGCAGCTTTGATGATACCAGATCCTGGAAACGGGAAATTACTAGCAAATCACAAGCAGATCCCAAAGGCAAAAAGATATGACTTTGGAAGCTGAGCCCCCCAGGTCGGAAGGTGTCCAGTATGCTACTGGGGAAGAGAAGAGGGCTAGTACTAGTAGTGCCAGAAAGAGTGAAGCAACTGGGCCAAAGCCGAAAGGACGCTCAGCTGTGGATGCATCTGGTGATGAAAGGAAAGTCCTATGCTGTAAAGATCTACTCACCATAGGAACCTGAAATGTAAGATCCATGAATCAAGGCAAGCTGGTCAAACAGATTATCCCAGAATTGAAGTGAGGATTCAAAAGGGTTGGTAAAGTAGGGAAAAGGCTGCAGATATGATTCCCCTTTCCTAGCCTCCCTGTATGTTGAGTTCTGGGAACATATATCCTCCTGATATTCTGTGTTTGTAGGTAATCTTAATTTTTCCCCCCCCCCAGGTATGCTTGATTTTTAAGTGCATATACTTTGTCGTTGTTTCTGGACATCAAATAAACGGAGACCTTCTTTCCAAAATGCAGCCTGCCTCAGACTTAATTTCCTCTGCCTGCCTTTTTCTTCCAGCTTGGAATAAGATACGAACTGGATTTAACCTCCAACAGAACCCTTACAAAGGGAAGAATTGCCAGGAAGATGATCTGCACTTTGCCTACTGGAATGGGCTGGCCTGCTGTTTCCTTCCTTTCCTAGTACCCGTTCTCCATTTGTCTTTTGCTTTTGAGAGACTGAGGATCTCATAGTGGAAGGTAAGGATATAATATTAAAACGCAGAAGGGAAGGACTCCATGTTAGAACCATCTCCAGATATATATTTTTTCTCATGCCATATTCCTCCTCTTCTGCCTCTTTTCCCTTCCCATAGAGTAGGATGCTTTTATACAAGTAATCCTTGACTTAGAACTGTTCATTTAGTGACTGTTTCAAGTTACAACGGCACTGAAAATGACCATTTTTCACACAACTTTTCACACAGTATCCCTGTGGTCATGTGATCAAAATTGGACATTTGGTAACTGACTCATGACAGTTGTAGTGTCCCGGGATCATGTTTTCCCTTTTTTGAAACCTGAAAAGGAAAGTGGGGAAGCCAGATTCATTTAACAACTGTGCTACTGACTTAACAACTGCAGTGACTCACTTAACTGTGGCAAGAAGGCAAAACTCACTTAGCAACTGTCTTCCTTAGCAATGGAGATTTTGGGCTCAGGTGTGGTCGTAAACCGAGCACTACCTGGACTTATGAAAAGCTTTAAGTGCTGAATATTGTAACCATTGATTTTATTTGATGGGCCAAAAAAAATGTCAATTACTCTTGGGAAGATTTGTAAATGGAAATGAGGCACAACATTGAATAATCACCTTGTTGCTTTGAAACTGCTTCTATTACACTCAGAGCATGGTATTGTTTGAGAATGGAATTTAAACAAAGCACATTTTTAAAGATTTTATTATGAAAATGTATAAAGTCACCTAACTCGGGGAGGGGGCTTACAATGCCAATACAAAATGCCAATACAAACAACAACTACTCCCCTTCCCCTCCCCTGTGACAATTAGACCAGCCACTTGATGGGGTCCATATCACTCGGGTCCCCAGTCTCATTGGCAGAACCATGTCTTCAGGGCCTTGGGAAAGAGTGCCAAAGTGGGGGCCAATCTTATCTCTGAAGGGATGATGTTCCACAGAGAAGGAGCTACTATGGAGAAGACCAGTAGAATTCTAATTTGCATATCTTTCATTTTTCATAGGTGAAGGTGAAATATTATGCAGTTGCTATCGGGCAGTTGCTTGATGTGAGCCCAGGTACTTCTGGGAATGTATGCAGTGTAGGCTACTTGGACTCTTAAAAGACTATTGGTAAGTAATTATGTACTGTGAAGGTGGTTAGGTAATTTTCACTGGTCTATCCCAGTTTGGAGTCTTATCAAATGTATGGGAGTTGAAATCCAACTAATCTCTGGATACTTGATTGGGGATGGCTGTCCAAACTTTTAAGTGTTATGATGCTAATGTATTTTGTGTTACTTGTTTCATTCAGACCGAGCCGAATTGCCTGTCCACATTTTAACGAGCGCACCGAAGATGCCTAAGTGGAGGACCTTCTCCCCGAGAAGAAATGCAACTAAGAAATTTTCCTGGATCCATTGTTTGGGATGGGAAGGATTTGGCATTGTTTATCCATTATGTCCCTTATTCTGTTTTTCCTGCAGAAGCGAGAGGCTTACTTATCAGCCTGATTAGAAAGCAGTGGGAAGTTTACTTATTTTCTTACTCAATAAACCATTCATGGATGAATGACTTTGTTATGTCTGTTGAAGCTGCAAAGGGCAATGTCACTTAACTCCTGCAAAATAGTTCCTACTGGTGATAACTTTGGACTCCAGCAGCAGCATTATACACACACACACACACCCCATCTGAGTAAACTCTTGCTGGTAATGCTGCAAAGCATGCCTTCTTTTTAAAAGAGGTTACTTTCTAACCCTTTCAAGTGTAGCTTTTCTTTTCTGTCCTACCTCTGCTCCTACGGTAGTAAGCAGGAAAAGGGTAGCCTTTGAAGAGCTATACGGCTTACTTAAAGTACCATATGATGCAGTGAGTTGTGAATCTCTACTGTAGATGCTACTTAGAACTGGGTCAAGCAGTCCTAAGCAGCCAAGTTCAGTGGCTGGGAAAGGAACAGCAAAAAATTACTCTGCAGAGTTGGGGAATCTTTTGACTTGCAGCAAAACGTTAGCAATTATTTGGAAGGTGTTCTTGGACTATTAAATGTATCACAGCTGCCCAGTCAGAAAATCTCCAAGCAATGTTCTTTTCAAGGACATTGCCTTTCCCTACAACTGGGTGTCTGCAACCTTTTCTGCTCCGTGTTTGTGGATTTGTGCTCCCTTGAGAGATTCCGGGTGAGACAATGTAGTCCATCTCGTGGGAGTTCATGGTACCTTCAAGTATTAGTCACAAATAAAACACTACAATAAAAAGTACATTTATTTTTTGTGCCACTTATTTGCAAGCAACAAAAGGGATGGCAGGGTTGGTTATTCCTAGTGGCAAGACTAAATATTAATGAAGTATCTACAATGATGAGTCTCTGTAATTGGAAAGTAGCAGTTGCCTTTGATACAGTGATATCGAAGTAGCTATACTGTTTCACTGTATGACTGGATGAACCTTGCCTTCAAACTGCTCCATTACCCTTCACTTTCTAAACTTGCCTTAGGTCAAGTAGTTCCAAGAACCTGATCATTGAAATGGGTTCCCCCCCCCCCCCAGGGTATATCCTTTATGAATAAACTATATAGTTCCTTGAGTAGGTAGGTGAATCTGGCTTGCCTTGCACCATTGGGTGTGGTGCAACATGTAACTGGCTTTTACACAATAACTAACAATCGTGCCCTATATAGTATATTCTGCAAACCTGGTAACTCTGGACCAAAACGGACAGTTTTAATCCCAAACTACTGAATTAAAAATGTCCTATTGTAGTATGTTGTGGAAAGCCAAACATCCAACTTATCTGCTGGGTAGTGAGAAACTACTAAAGGCATGATATGGCTATAGAATGGCTGAAAATGTGGGATCTTGTGGCCAAGGACACCTCCCAAACTACTGAGTACAGTGTTGAATGGGAAAGCAGGCATGACACAATGAAGCTTGTCCCTGTTTAGTGTGGAGTTTATGGAATATTGAGCAAGACTGGAGGGGAAATGAGTGAGGATAATATTCCTTTAACCAAGCTGATACAGCGTATTTAAATGAACCTTAATTGGGTTAAGACACCCAAACCCTGCTAAAGGGGTAGCATCTATAAGGAATTTCGAGAGCAGGGCATGTAGGTGAAGTCATTGTGCCATAGATTTATAATACATTTCAGTTGAGCGCTTTGCTCTCCTTTCCCTAGTAATACCCTGTACTGAATTTCCGGCTGGTGTTGACCTCCAGGTAGTTGTTGGTTAGGAACCACCTGGCACAAAGTTGGTGTCAGCTCCCCCCTTGGCACAGTCTCTCAATTCGAATGCTAGCTGAGTAAGGCGGGTGAGAAGTCCCGAGATGGCTGCATTGCACCACATTTAAAAAAAAAAAAATTACAAAAAGGCAGTTTGCTTCTTACTCCATGAGCATTGGATAGTTGCCATTCAGCTTATCTTCATTATCACCTTCTCCAGTACAAGACACCCATGCCAATCAGTGCCACGCTCAGCACACCTACTGCTGTAGCCAGGGCTATCACTGCACGCCCTGCAAACAGAATATTGGATCGGGCTTAATAGTTTTCAATTAACTAGCTCTGTGCCAGAGAGGAGGGGGGAAAGATGATCTCATTACCTGGACCGCTCTGAGAGTTTTGGCACTCGGCATCCCAGTCCTCTGGGACAGCTGTACGGGTGAGATGAATGAACAGTGGCAATGGGCAAGGTGTGGGGCAGCCAGGCAGAGATAGGATATGGGGCCTCTGGTCACTTCTGTTGCGGTAGAACATGGCAACGCTGAAAGAGCTGAAATGTGAAAATTTTAAAAGTTTTGCACCGCCCTGGAATCTGCTTTATTCCTTAACGTACCTGCCAAAAGATACATTTGCTGCTGTTTTTCCCCTTGCACAATCCTTGAAATTGTTCTGCCACCTCAGCCTCTCTCCATTGTGATGCTACAGCCTTACTAATGCGTCAGCAACTAAATTTGCTGACAGATAGTTTGGAGGCAGCCAGCTCTGCTGCAAGGAAATGGTTTTGAAAGTGATGCAAAGTCTGGCTTGGGAGGGATCTTGTAAGAAAGGAAGAGGAAAATGAAATGACAAAATGGAAATGAGCTTTGTCTAGAATCTAATTACCTTCTTGAGTTCAGGGTGTGCAAAAACTTCCATTTTAACATACTTCGGTGAACTAGGTAATAATTGCGGGAAGCCAAAAGTTACATCATCTTTTTCGTGTGTAGGATACTGCCCGATTTAAGCTCCTGGACATCTTTGCAAGCTGAAGATGTCAAATTAACACCAACTAATCTGCCCAGTCTTAGATCCTATGGTTCAATATTCATAAGGCTTTTGTATGTGTTCAGCCTTTGAAGCTTCTAATGGGATCCTAAGGATTGTCCTGAACATGGTGGAGAACAACGCACCATGTCATGTCTGCATCTTGACAGTTGCAAAAGGAAGAGCTGCCCATCCTTCTTATGTTAAACTTACTTATTGCCTTCTTGGTAGAATTCAAATCCATGACAAGCTGCATAGGGTGGTGGACGGCCACTGTAAACCCCGAGGGCTGCCTGGAGAGCAATCAAGGTGCTGTCATGCTAAAGAAAATAAGCAGAAATAATTACTATGCTATTTACATATTAGAATAGACCAGAACATCCCTTCTTCCCACACTTCTCATGTCCATGTCTGCCTTCCAGGCTTATTCTTATTCTTGAATAAAACTTGGCATATCAAATTGTATTCTCTGTACCATCAGGGCAAGATTTTGTAGCAGAGTGCCAGAGCCCCGTGGAAGGAAATTAAAGGCTAGGTGTTTTCAAAGTGAAGAAAGGTATTTAAGTCCAGAGAAAGTCAAAAAATAAGTAACTTTTCTGCTTGCTATATTCAGTTTTGTCTCTTTCACTGGCAATTATACCTATTTTCCTTTTTGCTTGTTTATGTTATCTGCCCCAAATCACCATGGTGAGATGGGTAGCCATATATATATTTGAAATAAACCAGGAAATGGGAAAATATTCCATCATTGATATCAGGAAGCATGACTGGATTTGATCCAGCCCTGTTTGGATTCCTTTGCTTATTTTGAAATAAGATGTCCACTCAGCTGGGGCAGGAGGGAGGAGGGAAGTAAGGCTCCCTCTTTTTTCTGATAAGCCCTGAAATTTTGCCATAATAGCAACCTTACAAAGTAGCAGTTAGAATTCTTAAGATTATAGAAAGATGCTCAAATTCTGCCCCAAACCAATTCTGTGCTGCAGATAACGATAGCTGCAGAGAGGAGAAGAGTGCTGTAAATTCTCTGGATTATCTCATTTTCCAAAGTAGATCTTTGGAATTGCAAGGAACAGGAAAACTTACAGCAGAATACATGATCATCTTAAGAGGCAGATCCTGGCACACCGTTTTGGAAAAGTTGCTCAAAATAGCGCCCAGCAGCAAACCTGCAGAGAAGAAAATATGCTGGTAGATAATATACTGACATGTATCTGACATTCAGAAAAGCACAAGGCTGAAAGATGCTGAGAAGAGAGGAACTGCACAGTGTCGTATCAGAAAGTATATCAAAGCTTAGAAAGGAAGTTGAAGGGATCCTGATCTCCGTCAAGCACTGGCTTTGTTATGGCATGTTAAATAACAATTCCTGTCACACGGTGGTGCTATTAAGCTAACTTGATATTTGAGGGCTAGTTGCTGGATTCTGAAATGCAGAATCCCCAATGAGATTGAGGGAGCGAAGGAATGTTATGCTGTTCCTTGCTAGTGAACAATAGCATCACTATGGCATTATTCAGCCATCACTGTAGACAGAAAACTTGTCCTCATTGGGCACAATTATGCTAGTATCATTCTACACATTGCTAATAGGGAAATGTCCTAGGTTTACACGGCTAAGAGTCACTTTGTAGGGGGGATTGGTGGTACAGAAATTAAATAAACAAACACGTACATACATACATATTTCCAAGCTGGTACACACTTTGTACTTTCAATCGTTTTCCTTCAAACTGTCCTGGGTTTACTTTTTAACTTAATATTGCCACATTTTACCATACAGTTAGTCCTCAATGTATGACCACAACTGAGCCCCAAATTTATGTTGCCAAGTGAGACCTTTGTTAAGTGAGTTTTGCCCCATTTTACGACCTTTCTTGCCACAGTTGTTAAGTGAATCATTGCAATTGTTAAGTGAGTAACACAGTTGTTAAGTGAGTCTGGCTAACCTATTGACTTTGCTTGTCAGAAGGTCACAAACGGGGATCACATGATCCCAGGACACTGCAACCGTCATAAATATGAGTCAGTTGCCAAGCATCTGAATTTTGATCCTCTGAGCGTGAGGATGCTGCAACAGACATAAGTGTGAAAAATGGTCATTATCTTTTTCAGTGATGTACCTTTGAACGGTCACTAAATGAACGGTTGTAAATTGAGGACTACCTGTATATATCTGTGGAGATTCTCAGTCATCCAGGTCATAGTCGTCTCAAAGGTGCTTTTTTTTTTTCCTTCAAAAGGAAACTGGACTGTTTTTTCACTTGAGGAAGAAAACATTTTGCTTCTCATCCAAGAAGCTTCATCAGTCCTTCCATCTTCCTATCATCAGAACTGATGGAGCTTCTTGGATGTCAAGCAAAACGTTTGTTTCTTCTTTCTTAAGGAAAAAAAAACCCAGTCCAGTTGCCTTTTGAAGGTAAAAAAAAGCACCTTTGAGACATTTACCATATACATCTAGGTCTTGATTCCAAAACAGAGCAAATAATTCAAATTTAATTTGTACCTCCAATGAATCGAGCCTTCTCCCGGGTAGCATGCATTCCCACATGGGCTTCAATATTAAACACTTCTATCTCTGACAGAGTTGCCAAAACCTGTGGTGTAGCCCACCTAGGCAAAGTCATGTTATGGGTTTTCTGTGTGAAAAATGAAAAAAAAGAGAGTTTTCTAATGAAATGGTGATCTTGGTGTAATCAGGAACATAATTTTTAAGGCAGGGGCTTCCAAACTTGGCAACTTTAAGACATGTGGACTTCAACTTCCAGAATTCCTCAGCTACCCATGCTATGTGAAACACTCAGCCATGTTGGCTGAGGAATTCCGGGAGTTGAAGTCCATAAGTCTTAAAATTGCCAAGTTTGGGGACCCTTGTTCTAAGGGACTTGTTAAGTGAGCCGCACCCAATTTTAGAGTCTTGTTTGCCATTTTGTTAAGTGAATCAATGCAATTGTTGAGTGAATCACATGGTTGTTAAGTGAATCTGGCTGCCTCCATTGACTTTGCTTGTCAGGAGCC